ACTGTTCCAGTGTAAATTATACTTAATAGCAATTATCCCATTCTTTTGAAATTTACTGTGGTAACTATTGAAGAATAGGAGTAGTTACTGGCCAGGCAGTCAAACCTGAAATAAACTAAGCAAGTTGCTGTTGTAGAGCTCTTATTGTGTGAGAGAACCAGTGTCTTTCTGACAGCTTTTTTCCTTTTATGAGTGCAGTGAGTCATGAAGGCATGCTCTTCTGCTGTCTGCTCTGAGTGGTTATTGTTTAAAATATATACACTAATGTGCTCATTGAATTATCCCCTACTTAAGCTCTAATAAATGAACAAAGATCAATTCTAGCTAGCAGAGCAGGTCCTCCCTTCAAGGAATGAGTAGTGGGTAGAACACATTTAGAGATCCAGTAAAGAGTAAAAGATTTCAATGGGATTTGTAAAGTACTTGTATTCTTTTGGGCCTGATCAGAGTGGCATGTGAAGGCACTCATCATAGAGATCACCAAGTGAGCTTCTCAAACGCATAGCTGTACAAGCAAGAGCAATGCTTTGTGTCTGTCTGGCTGCTTTATGATCGATTTCCCGCAGTTACCTGCAATATTCAGGTATCTGCTGTTGCGTTTTTCTTTGTCCTGCTGGCAGTAGCTGTGTGTATATGATAACTTGAGATTTTTCCTGGATAATTCTTTTCCTCGAGTGCTTTTAAGAGGGGTCAGAATAAAAAAAAAAAAAAAAAAAAAAAGATGAGCAAAGTTTGAAGTGCATGCCCATAGTAATGACAGCTGGAAGGCAAGGCTTGAGAATGCAAACTGCTTCATCAAGTAGAGATTAATGAAGTTTTGGCTAAATATTTGCCTACATGAGAAAGGAAAGAATTACATACAAAAGGAGGGCAGACAAAGCCAAATTGTTCTTAAAAGTAATAGCAGTGATACTGAAGGAAATTTATTCTGCATGCTGTGCTGGAAGTCTGCTGGATATTCCTTTTGTAACCATTCTACCTACTCAGCTAATCCTTTCCTAATAATGTGATCATATGTCTATGCATAATCCTTTTCTATAAAAGGCAGCACTGCATTATCACTTTGTTGGAGAAGAGACTAAATAAAGAGATATATGTGGAAGAATATCCCCATGTTTAGAAACTGTAAAGATTTTGCACAACCTGAATTTTGAATTTTGTTTGTCTTGAGCTTTCACTCATGCATGTATGAAGGTGTGCATGTTCATACCTGCATTCATGCAGTTTTTATGCACTGTCAGCTACTTGTGCATACACCTGTGAGGGGGGTAAGATGATTTGTGTGGAAATTCTGTCTCTTATTTAGCAAGTGATTGGATGGCATTTCTGTGTGTAGATGGTATGCTCTTCCCCTACATGATACTCCCAGCCCTGAAAGCTCTAGCAATCTAGGTCATAATCCATAGACATACAAAGTCCTCCTGCCTCTTGAAGGTAGATTTTATGGATGCTGTTCCAGGAGGAAATGAGAAAAGACAACTACAATTTTAGTTCAGTCTTCTTTCTCTCTAGTGTTCTTTTTTCTTATGTTAATTTACTTGGAGCACTGAAAACTCTTGGACAGACATTCACCTTTCAGGCACCTTGCAGATACAAGTTGAGCAACAACATTTTTGATTGTGTTAGATGTGGTTGCAATGGGCTAAGCATAAAGGCAAGGCAATGTTTACAGACAAAGCAATGTTTATAGGTAAGGGTAATATCTCTTCTAAGAGCTATAGTGTAGTTGGAAGAAGTAGACAAGCTTTCAAGTGCTGGAGCTGCAAGGCATACAGAAGGCTTTTTTTTTTTTTTTTTTTTTTTTTAAACTAAGCCAGTTGATCTAGTAGGAAGTATATCTCATGTAATGTTACTGGGAGTGTGTTTGCAGAATATATTGTTAACCTTAAGACTTTCTGATAGGTTCCCACAAAGAGGCCATTTTAATTCTCGCTGTGCGGGAAGTAGTTGCTTCAGTGTGGGTGGAAATAGGATGCAATGCAGAAAAGTGAAGAGACTCATTCATCTGGTGGGTTTGTGGGAGGAAACAGACTGATGAGCCTAGGATTTTATCATCCATTAGCTCTGTGTTAGGACTGCAATTTACACACACACACACACACACACACACA